GTACTCCCGATGTATTCTATGACACACAAAAAAAAACCAGATAATTTCAGAAACACCTAAAACTCATTGTTTACAAGTTTCGACCATCGGCGTAACTTTTCTATCAAAAATTTCAATAATTCATGCAATTGCACCAACTAGAAGCTTTAATCGAGAAGTCCTTAAAGACTTATTTTCTTGTGCGGCTTTGGAGTTCAAAGATATCTTTGGATTACGATTAACGAATGCTATAAAAATGCTTTAATGATCGGGAAGTTCCGAGCATCGTTCCCGGCTACTCTAGTCTTGATTACTTCAAGCTCATTTCTTCAATGAAAGAGTATCCATTGCAGGCAACTCTTATGGCAACTTTTCAAGTGATACAAGTCTGTGACATTAGGTTACCAAACGTCTTGTTTCGATTTAATAACGATAAATTTAAACGACAATCCATACTTGGATTTGTCAAGTCCTTCTCAAACAACTGCTGCTGCCACAAGGTTCGTGGGGCCATAAAGGATTCCTTCGAACTGCTGATCGATTTAAACTAGCAAATCGCATGTTTTTTGTTTCGTTGGATCATATTGGAGATTCGAAATTAAGTAGTAGCAAAACGATTTATGATCACTAAAGGCATGAGGATGATCTACCCCGGTTCGGCCCGACCAACCCATGCGCGTAATTGTAAGTTATATTGTAAATTTAGATGTTCGAGTGCACATCGAAGAGTAACAGTGTCTAATAAGACCCAAAAGTAAAAAGAGGTCCTTGATGTTCTTTTCAAGCCCTTTTACGTGGTAATCAATGTCAACAAATATTTAAATTAAACATGCAAACACGTTAATGCGTTGTTAAAATGGAAATAAGCAAGTAATACGCGATAGGAGATGATTCCTATGGCCAAAGGTATTATTTATATGTATGTAGCATTCTAGTCATTCTTGCTCGTTATTGAATGACTTTCCGTTCTACAAGGTCCGAGTGATTTACGAGATCAAAAAGCTAAATAAGTCGTGGCCCGTACACTCTTGATATGCTGTGAAAACACAAGAATATCGTTACTAATAACCACAATAAACTGATATGAAAAACATCTTACAAAGGGATAAAACAGCAAGCCTTTTGTCACGCTACGACTACCGAACCACACATCGGTAAGGAAGCACGGTAATCCTATTATCACGGAACAGGTTCTAGTCAATGGACGTAAATGAGGAACGACTCTGCTAGATTAAACTTCACATAATACGGTAAACACTACAAACACATATACGACAAATTCTTTTTGATGAGAAAGCATTTGATAAGCGAGGATTTAGTACCGCGTCTTATGCAAATGACAGAGTACACAAGCCTAAAGAAGGGTAGCCATAAACTGCGATAGCATTGAACACGAATACTCACGATATATTGTTACGACATTAGGGGACGGCTAGAGGAAAAACAACTATAAGAATAAGATGGACAGCATTTCTAAATACCTACAGGGTTCCATTCAAACTCTCGGGACCAAGTGAACGAGATTCCATGTAATTAATCACGCAAGCAAAGGGACTTACGCACGATTGACATGATGTACGCGCAATACTAGAAACACAGGAGATGTTCCCTGATTCAATTATCTAACACACTGGATCTACAGCTAAAGATTTACCTGAAGAGACTGAATACCGCTTGGAAATACCAGTCAACTGATCGTGAATAGAGTACTCAAGCGAACTACCAATGTTGACAAAATCGTTTCCCCTGATCGCTCTCAAAACTGACTCAGTAATGAATGGAGAAACAAGGAACTCTATGAGCATGCGCAACATTCGCCAGGCACGTGTTTCAGAGGTCCAAATAAAATGCGAAATGGGTAAAAATATTCTTGATTTACTGAAAGTGCGCAAGCTGTGAAAGAAGCAAGATAGAAAGAGGTAAAGGTAGGCTACTCTTGACAATTTAAACAAAAGTTATCAACCCTGTACGCTTCTTGTCGTGTACAGGTCGTCGTAATTATAAGCAAATATTGTGCTGTTAACATTAAAATGATAATTGTTAATGAAATCGGCTACAAACAAAACAAACTCGAAATACGTTCACAATCTAGAACTCGTGTAGCGTCAGGGCATATAGAGAGAAAGCCTGTGTGCTGCTAATGAGTCTTTTTTCACATTACATTACGATTAGGTGAAGTTAAATGCATCAAAATGTTCGAATTAGAATATATTTGTCATGCTTACTTATTACGACCGCAAATTGATGTGCTTATGAATTTATTAATTCACTAATTATAGTAACAGTGGTCAAATATCAGAGTACACAAAAATAGAAACAGAACTAAAATAAATCAATATCATTCGAGAGGGAAAAAAATACAACTTGAACAAAATTGGTAAATATTCAGTGCTCAAACCCCAAGCGCTTCATGGCGCTTTTGTGTACTAATATTTCAAACATGCCACGCATCCGACAATTAAACGTTAATTGAAAACCTCTAAAAATGGTATGCTTGGAATGCGCGGCACCAGTACACCATTGACAACATTTAGGATCTTTCAACTGTGACCAGCAACGTCGTGATGCGAAATTTGATTTGGTAAGAAGCGCTTTAATGATACCAAGCGCACAATGACAGGCTTGCTCTGATTCGCTGCAATTATTCATTGTTAAAGAACAAATCTAATGCACCTTGACCTTTATGTACAATTTTGTAACTAGGTAATTAATATGATGGTATATATGAATCAAGATTGACCTTAAAATAATGCGGTAAACAGGAAAAGTCTACTTTGACAATACCGCAATGGTCGATGACTGTTATTGACGGTCGTAAAACAGGCGACAAAAACAATGTCACGATTAGAAAGGAAAAGCCGACAATTTCAGAAAGACCTCCCAGACTGACTTAACTTAGGCGTAAGTAGTAATCGGATCTGTCCGAATGGGTCAAGGATTGAAGCGATGATTCAGGTTGGACCTTAAGAACTCTCCCCTACAGGGGTGCCGTTAGGATAAAAAGTGTTCTAATTAGACATACTCCTGATAGTAATTTTCATGCGTGAAAAGAAAACCTCTGGTACAAGCGCAGTTTCTTCATTTTCACTGCGAAAAACTGCCTGTCACAGTCACAATACGGTAGAATCCAAGTAATAAGCCCCTACCCCCGGTTATATACCACCGAATATAAGCCTGCCAGTCTACTAATAGAAAATCCCTCCCGGTTATAAGATTCGTTTATCCGGTTGTAAGTTTCCTCAATCGATAGAATTCCACAATGCAGCCCCGTAGCACAGCTTTTTACAGCTAAAGTTGCATGAACACTAATGTTCAGTTTAAATGGACACGGTTAAATATTTGAATGGAACTGATTTTAGACGTTTTTTCCTCCCTTTTATAAGCCCCACCACCCGACTATATCTATAAGATGACCCAAAAATCATTGCGAAGTTCTATATAAAGCCCAGATTCCACGGTAAGGCAACTGGAACTTCCCTTTGAGCCATCGAAGGAATCACTAAACGATAGAATCTGATGATCAGGATGATCGTTCAAGCAATCAGCTAATACAGAAAGAAGTTACCGTTGTCACTGCATGACACGTACCTTTTTAACAGTCACGAAATCCGCAGTATATTAAGAAAATGTACTTTACAATTATGTGTGGATCTCAATGATTCCTTTCAATGTTACGTGTTGCACTAAGAGAGACTGGAATTTAGGATTCCCGAAAACTAAAGGTATCAAAGTGTTTTATCGTAAAGTCGGAAAACGAAATTGCCTATTAATTGGAGAAATGAAAAAGAGAGAAAGAAAATTGAACCTTGGCATCAGGTTTTAGGATTACAAGATGAATTCACTACTATACAATCAGGATCCAAATGTATATGTAGGAGGGGGTTGAGAAAGGGTACGCTCTAAAAATACATCGAGTGAAAGTTGCGTGTCAATTCAATCAAGGTCTACGATCTTTTTCTCTCATGTATTATATAATACAAGAAATGATCATCCTTCCAAAGCTTTCACAATCAATTCAAAGATACTCACAATAAATGTGTACCAAAACTTTACCAAAACTGATGAAAATTCTCGTCCACAAAATGCATGGTATGAACGAAACATGGATTCTGATACAAAAGAGTAAACAATTAGAATCAGGTTCACGCTTTAATAATTAGATCTTATTAACCGAGCGGGAGGTCTGTACGGGATAATCTTGACCGAGGTCGGAATGTGCAGACCGAGCACAGAGAGGTCTGTACCCGACCGAGGTCAAGATTATCCCGTACAGACCGACCAAGCTCGGTTGATAAGAGTTTTATTATATGACCACTTTTCATTGAAAAGGACAAAATGTTTTCGCCGTAAGATTAATATGCGATCGGACCGGTTAATACCGGAGAATCTAGACCCGTCCGTGGTGCGATCTATCCAATCAGATTGCTCGATTTGCTAGTGTCCAGGCTCTAAGATTCACGGTCATATAATAAAAAACAGTCCAAACTGCAGTGACGAACAAGCGGGTGGCCTTTTGAAAGATAATTGTTGAGCGTCCGCTCCTGAAGACCCTGAATTGAGGTATTAGAACAATGACAGACTATGTTTCCGGAGCTCAGATAGGATGTCATGTCCCAAGGTCTAGCACTTCAAGCAACAACTGTACAACTGATCGCATAACTGTAATAGTATTTTCCACTTATACAGCAATAAAAATTTGTTGCATAAAAAGATATGCACGAGGTGCAATGAGAGCAACATCCCTTTGCAAAGGTCATTGTCATGATTATGTGCAACAAGTTCATACTGTACCATTTTGTTACTCGTATTAATGCTTGGCACCAAGCTTTGCGTTTCCTAACGCCGAAGAAACATAATCGCGCGCCACAAACTTATAAAACAACAGCATCAAGTTGTAATGCAGCAATGAGCAATTGTAACTGCTGCAACCTAAGCAAGACAGTATCTTTAAAAGCCTCCAAGAAATTTTCATTTACGACTGACTGAAAACATGAAAAAATGATGAAGTCATCAAAACTTACCTTCAAACATCGACGCATATTCCACATTTTTCCTGGTCTGTGGGTGGTTCTTCGTAAAATGCTCGTGAATGCAACTTTTCCTGGTCTGATGATGGTTTACAGTAGAATACGGCATTATGTGCAACTCTTCCTGGTCTGTGGATGGTTCACAGTAGAATACCGCATTATGTGAAACTCTTCCTGGTCTATTGATGGTAAAAAGTAGAATACCGTATTATGTGCAACTCTTCTTGGTCTGTGGATGGTTCACGGTAGAATACCGCATTATGTGCAACCCTTCCTGGTCTGTTGATGGTAAAAAGTAGAACACCGCATTATGTGCAACTCTTCCTGGTTCATAGTAGAGTACCGCATTTTGTGCAACTCTTTCTGTTCTGTGGATGGTTCACAGTAGTTTACAGCATTTTATACAACTCTTCCTGGTCTGAGGATGGTTCACAGTAGGGTACCGCATTATGTGCATCTCTTCCTGGTCTATTGATGGTAAAAAGTAGAATACCGTATTATGTGCAACTCTTCCTGGTTCATAGTAGAGTACCGCATTTTGTGCAACTCTTTCTGTTCTGTGGATGGTTCACAGTAGGGTACCGCATTTTGTGCATCTCTTCTTGGTCTATGGATGGTTTACAGTAGAGTACCGCATTATGTGCAGCTCTTCCTGGTCTGCTGATGGTAGTACCGCATTATGTGCAGCTCTTCCTGGTCTGCTGATGGTAAAAAGTAGAATACCGCATTATGTGCAATCCTTCCTGGTTCATAGTAGAGTACCGCATTTTGCGCAACTCTTTCTGTTCTGTGGATGGTTCACAGTAATTTACAGCATTTTATACAACTCTTCCTGGTCTATGGATGGTTCACAGTAGGTACCGTATTTTGTGCATCTCTTCTTGGTCTGTGGATGTTTCACAGTAGAATACCGCATTATGTGCAACTCTTCCTGGTCTGCTGATGGTAAAAAGTAGAGTACCGCATTATGTGCAACTCTTCCTGGTCTGCTGATGGTAAAAAGTAGAATACCGCATTATGTGCAACTCTTCCTGGTCTGTGGATGGTTCACAGTAGAGTACCGCATTATGTGCAGCTCTTCCTGGTCTGCTGATGGTAAAAAGTAGAATACCGCATTATGTGCAACTCTTCCTGGTCTGTGGATGGTTCACGGTAGAATACCGCATCATGTGTAATTCTTCTTGGTCTGTGGATGATTCACAGTAGAATACCGCATTTTGTGCAACTCTTCCTGGTCTGTGGATGGTTCACAGTAGAATACCGCATTTTGTGCAACTCTCCATTGTCTGATGATGGCTCACAATAGAATATTGCACTTCGTGCAACTTTTCCAGGTTTATTGGAGTAGAGTAAAAATTACAACACTTCGCAATCATGAGAGCACAAGAAAATGCTGCAATTCACAGCAGAAATAGCTGCAATTCACGAGAGGAACTCTTCGTTGTCGTTGTTGTGATCAAATCAGAATACTGCAATTAATGAGTTCTTTTTTTTTTTTTCTAACTTGTTGGTGGTCGTGCAACATGCTACAGAGTACTCAATATGTCCAGAAAGTTTTACATTTTTGGTACAATGAAATCTAGCAAGTGATGATCTGTAGTTAATACAGTACCTTATGGCCAGAAATAAACTTCATCAAGAGAATATTTTCTCTTGACTTCATCATATTACAACGCAACTTCACAGTATCCTTTATGACTACGGCGATATAATACGTATTTCAGCGCAAATTATTCTCTGGGGACTCGAAGTGCACCTCATCGACATAAAACGGAACTTTACAAACGTGTTCAAGACTCACTAAGTTCCAAGTGCTGTCGGATAAAAACCATTACAATCTTATTATCACTGAAACCTTCAACCATTGGCACATCTAGTCTGTCTTGTTGCCAGCGTACTTGTATTATGAAAGGAAGGTCAGCCTCATTTTATGAGATATCATGGACCGTCATACCAAACGGCTTGTAATGTGCGGTATAAAAGTTGCTTTCTCTTCGTCCTAGCGATCCGGTTCTATCCATCGTGTCGCAGAGAAGGCAAAGACATGGTACAGCCATGGATGTGGTCTTTATCACTCCTGTAAATGAAAATCATTCAGGAATTACTGTCATTGTCATCAAGCTAGGCAAAATTAATCATCTACAATAGAGACCTATTTTCCTTGGAGTTTTCTCGTATTTAGTAACTAGAGAACCCAGAGAAAATCCCCCAAAAGCACAGTTACTATGGTGCATATAAACTCGTATATGAAACTACTTTATGAAATACTTAGTCATTGAATGGGACAAGTGACGACAATGAAAATCATAAGTACATAATGCAAGTGAGTAAGGGTGAGTAAGTGAAATCCGACGAAATGTTCAACAAATGATGGATTAGTCCTTATGTGAAGAAGGATTTACAGAAATGACGCCCACACGAGAAAACGTATTTAAAAAGTCGTTCGATTCAATTCCATATCAAAAACCATAAGTGAAAAACATGGGTTATGCCGATATCTGCAGAGATTATTAAGGAATATTTATGCATCACCAAAACTGTTCCAGTGTTTCTTAATTCATGTTTCGCGCCAATAAAAGTCAGACATGACAGTCAATGTGGATGTCAGCCTCAGTGACTTAGACTAGATTGATTTATCACTGTCTCAGTCTCAGTTATTGCTTTTTACCGCTGATGATAAGACGATAACGAAACTGACCAAGATTCGTCTTTTAGGGAAATTATTTGTTACAATGAATAATCTAAGAGTAGCCCGTCGGTATGGATTATTTTAGGGATGACTCAGTAGTGAAAATGTAAGTGGATGTACGACTTGTATTTGGAACAGTTGCTAAGAATAGCAAAATCGGTAATAATTTTTTTACGACTTGTATTTGGAACAGTTGCTAAGAATAGCAAAATTGGTAATAAATTGCGGTCCATACCAATTTGCAAAATCAAATCACTCACCATCATTTCGGAGAAGGAATATATATTCTGATAATCATTCGGCAAAATCTATAGTCCATGGGGAGAATTGATTTTGAAATTGATGATAAAGACTGATGCGTCAAATACGTTTAGTTTCAGAGATATGAATGGTGGTCTCGTTCCAATGATTGTCAATTGTGAGATGTGAGAAAACTAATAGAAAAATCTCGATTGTTGATTCATCTTAAAGCATCATGCAAAGAGTGGCTGATTTCGATAACAAAATAATGCCACACTTGAAGATCCAGACAATAGTGCGCAGCACAAATCCTCACCACAGACAAACCAATATACTAGTTGAACCGTGCACAAGAAGTAAACAGCCACGAGGCCTGCATTTATAAATCACATTTTTTTATGATCATCAATTTTTTTTTCTTCTAATTTTCCATCAAGCCACACGAAAGCCAACTGACTCTTGAAAATTTTAGTTTTAGTCAATCACTGAGCATGTAAAAATCAATATTGTATAAGGAGATTATCTGACGGACGTTTGCTTTCTGTATTTTTCACGGACACTTTTTAATTGGTTGTTATAAAAATTTTAAATCGTTAGATTATAAATAAAAGATCAGTTTCTAAAACGAGAAGTGAGAATCGTTTTTCCATCCTCGTGTTTCATTTTGCCGCTATGTCGGTACTGATGTACCGCAGTTTCTCGTGTCTTACTGCAGTAAGTCAGTACAGGCAAAGTAGTCACTCTATAAACTTTATCAGTACATGCCAGCTATGTAAGCACGCGGAAGATCATCTTATGAATTTTTACACCGTTTCATATACACGGAAATGCTAGCAAATGTGAGTCATGAAGACTTTTACTGCGAATAAAGATTATTAAACTAATTAACTTAATAGGAAAGGATCGAAACAAGATCTAAGTAAGCGGAAAATACAGCGTGGCCATACAGTACGGGATATAATAGCCCACCGGCGTTACATTTTCTTGTGAATGAATAGGTATCAATGGTAAGATACATTCTTGAATAACTAACCTTAGTAGCTAGCCGTTTGAGTGTACACATGAACTAACGTTTACGAAGATTTTGTACTTACCATCAGTTCTGTCTCGTCGTGAATGATACCGGGCACGTTTGTACATTTATTGAACTATCTATTTTGAGTTCAAGGTACTTCTGTTCTCAGTCAACCGATGCAAGATTTTCATTACTGTACCGCAACAATTCTTCTAAGAAGAAAACGATCAAAGGAGTAGAATAGGAAGGCGGAGAACATTTTTAGTCCTTGAATTTTTTTTACTCAATAGAAATTGGCCATTTACAGGATTGGAGTGGAAATACACTCAGCCAAGTATGAATAGTCTTTGAAAAGATGTAAATTAGCCGGAATGAGCATTAAAACGAGGGCTGGACGTCTGGTATTATACAATAAACCCAGACAAAAACTGTCCATAAATGATAACTCGTCATCATGGAAAGCGACGAAACTACGTAATTATAATCATTGACGACTGTCTATATGATTAGGGTATTCAACCCACGTTCTTTGGCGGTTAAGAGAGTTTTATCAATTGATCGCTAGCTGGCTGGAACTCTTGCCAACAAGATATTTTACAAAAATGGAAGAAAGCTAAAAATGAAATATTTTCTCTATTTCTCTAAAAACTAGAGCTCTTTAAATGAGAAAGTAATTTAAATTTGTGACAAAGACGAAACTTGTCAAAAACGAAGTACATCATTTTTATTTATTTATTTATTTTTTTTTACAATTTCAGCAAGAATTAGACAATCCATAATTTGTTAGAATGCGGAAAAAATTGTTACAAAAAGTTTAATGTATATTCAACTTTGATTAGCAATATATAAAACATATAAAAAACATAACATTAGTAAAAAAACATGTGTAATTTAATTTCAAGTTTTTAGCGGATATTTGCTGACACTTGGTTTTTGCAGGAAGTAATTTTAGAAGTGAAAAATAAAATAATGGGAAGCTATTTCCTATTAATTCTTAAGTGGCTTAAAGTATTTTAGACAGCTATGATAAAGTATTATATTTGAAAATGGTTATTTACTTATCATAAAAAGTAGATCAAGTAACAATTGCAATGTTATAAATTGGTAAAAGCGCTCAAAATCATAGCAAGTATCTTTACTATTATCATGATTATTATCATTAAGAATTACCTTTTTTAACAAATTATATAAAATCTCATTATTATTATCATCATCATCATCATCATCTTAATAAATGATTATGAAACTCGCCAATAATTTCTTTAGCAAATTACACTATTGAGTTCTAATATTACAATATTAACATTTAAATTTTTTTTAAATATTACAATGGCTACTGATACGAAATGTATTTTCCTTTCAAGGATTTTCTTATTGCTAGGTAATTCTGAGCCAACCATACATATTATATTGCCAGCTCTCTCATGATTAAGCTCATAAGAAAATTGCGATTAAATTAACATTTTAAGATATTGATTTTCACACAAAAAGGATTTGAGAAAGGAAAATTATCAAATTTAAGGCAAGTGTATACACCTAATCGAAATATGGCGACCAATTTGAATAACTATTGTTCTTCAGTGACTAGCGACTGACTAGCCTCGTGTTCACGTGGAAACATAAAAGCGTTTTCCCATGTATAAGAGGCTAGTCAGTCGCTAGTCACTGAAGAACAATAGCTATTCAAATTGGTCGCCATATTTCAATTATTAGGTGTATACACATACACTTTTATACATGATTTATTTCCTAAAACATCCAGAGAATGATTTATAAAGTCCAAATAAGCATTATCCACCAGATAAATTCTCTTCCATCAGATAAACTAGATGTTCAAATTTTGTGATTCAGTTGCGTGAACCTTGAATAGGAATTATCACTGCATTTTATCTTATGGATTACTATCCACCACCCACGACATAGGGCTTTTATTCATTGGATAGTGCTTAATTATTGCTGGTTTGCAATCATTCCCAAGAGAGTGAAATAACAAAAGACACGGCAGCCATGTTGGATGATATAACAAAAGAGAATAATGACAGATCTTTTGTTAAATTCATCCAACATGGCAGCTGTGAAAACCATCAATTCAGTGATTGATTGGTTTAGGCTTTGTATAACCAGCTCTAGTCTTTTAGATATATTAAAAATCCTGCTGAAGAGGCATTTGATTTAAAAATACATTGATAATTACACAAGGAGTTATTGCACCACTTTTCGCAAAATTGAGAGCTCTAAATAGAGGGACTTTATGAAAAAAATGTACTGTCCCTAACAAATTATGAATAAATGTAGGGACACAACATACATCTTACAGCGCTTGCCTAAGATACCACAGACCACCAGGGGGTTGGGGGTGAGGGTTAAGCTAAGATTGGAAAATATAACAGACAAGTATAGAAAAAGTTGAGGCTAAGATTGGAAAATATAAGAGATTAAAATGGAAAAAGGGAAAAAGTGGGGGGCTTTGTGACAATATATTGCACATCGAAGGGCTTGGTTATATAAACCATTGGGACATTAATAAACTAATATTACTCATCACATTTTTAAACTTTCCCCAATATATAACTAATGACTAGCATAATGATATTCAGCTGCGAATCTAGATACAGTCAAACCTACAAATGGATATATACCTTTTCTTTCAAACTCATAGGAATCACACACGTTTAATGCACCTATAAACTGATGTGAGGATCAAAAAAGTGAGAAAATCCCAGAAAACTACGAGGTAGACAAGCTGAGAGGAAGTCTCATGGCAGAAACTAGAGTTTTTGTAAAGTATAGTCATTTGCAAAAATATAACTTTAATAATAATAATAATATAACTTGACTTTTGTATTTCTAAAGAGAACTGAAAGCATGCTTAATCTATAACTGAAAATACTAATATCCTAAAGGCATTGAAATAATTTTTTTCTTCATGTTCATCGATATTAGGTTCAAATTCAAAGTCAAATTCAAATTAAGCTTATGACTGCAGAATTCTTTGCCGTAATTTAATATTTTATTAGTAATCATATGGTAACTTGGTGTTTGTCAAACATGTGTGAAATTTATCCCTAATTTCCCTCGTCCCCATGTAACCTTTTACCTACAGTGTATACTAATTCCACCACAGTAGGGAATTTTACATGGCTGTCATCTTGAAAAAGCCAGAAAATACAATAAACATATCGTTTATGTACTAAGGGTGGAAATTTGACTTTAATCAGTGAGTATTGTTTAGGGGTGGGGAAATTCAAAATTCAAAATGCAAATTCCCTTATACAGTCGGCCCTCACCGTACCTAGTGCATAACGTAGTAGATTGACCACAGTAAATCCGTGAAACACTAATTACTAAATAGTACAAAATAGTGCTAGTTAAACAATAGAAAACAATGGAATTTGCATAAAATTGTGAAATTGTGTATACTATTCCCTTACAAAAATGAAAAATAAAAAATATATATACGCAAGCTAAGACTTTTTGAATGGTATTCATATTTTTATAAATTTCTTATTCAAAATTGATAGGATTTGTCTTGCTACGTTTCAAAAAATTTAAACGAGTTCGAATATTTACCATTTACATATTTTTCCAAATATAATAGCACAACATAACCAATAATGGTTTGTTACTTACGGTGCAAATACCGATAAATATCAGCCTAATTCAACAAAGTTTCTCAGGAATTAAAGTTCTACGTGCTGTCTCTCTCTCTCTTTTTTCACTTGTCAAAATAGTTGTATCATATTCATTGCAAATTAAATGGAATAAATCCAGAAATAATTTATGAACATCAAACTTACCTTGTCAGGCGTAAAACATGACTTTTTGGGAAAATAAAGTTTGTAAAATAAGAAAAATTTGAAGTTCTACCATCCCCGTTTCCAACATGGCGGTAGTGAAAGGCCAGGCTGGAATCCAAGTACAGCGCATGACGTAATGTCTTCGGCGCAAACGCGTCTGAAATTCCCGCGCTTACTGATGATTGGCGGAAACAAAAAGATCATAAGGCCTCGAAGTTGAAAAAATTTGGGGTTTCGTTTTTTTTTCCTTTTCAGGACTCTCACTTTCAATAGTTCAACATAACAGGCCTCATCATTTTAGTGAATAAGAGGTTTAGCGCTTCAATTGAATTTCCACACAGCGCTCGTTGCGAGACTAACATGTCAGCATGATATGTCATTTAGTTTTGGCGTAATGTATTCCCGTTTCAGACCACGTGTCATTCTCTTGAGCATATACTGTATGTTTGAGTTTTATCTATATTCATATGTTACGTGTTTTCACATGAGCAACCGTTAACTGGCAATGATGCTCTAGGGAATGAAATGTGGTCTGAAATGAGATCTTTATATTACGTTCAAACTAAATAGTCTATAGTCTTTCGCCCGGAATAACCTCGTTCTCAAGCACTTTAACTTATCTATATTTCTATATCTTCATGTTAGTCTATAGACCATTCTCGTATCCAGAGCTCCTCGGCTTCCGACGGGTAGGAACGAAGCCGAGGAGCTCTGGATACGAGAATGGTCTATAGACCATTTTTTCAAGGTTGCGTGCGCATCTAAATTTAAGGGACTTGACGGGCCACGATACCATAACAAGAGCTTTGTAATGAGAATTAACATACATTTCTATGAAATATT